AGCGAGCGAGCGAGCGAGCGAGCGCAGCGCTTCGTCTCTTGAAGGATCTTGCTTTCTCGGGCTCCATGCGACTCCCCTTGGCTCCTGCAAGCCCCTCAGCATCTTCAAGCTCTTGGAGTTCTGATCCGGGAACAGCAAGGCCATTGGGCAGCTGGCCTTCGCAATGCCAAGGCAAAGAAAAAGCAAAGCCTCAGTCAATCAAAGCTGTCTAAGGGGGGAGGGGAGCCCACCCTAACCCCGAAAACCCTTGTTCAAAAACTCTCAAGTATCCGAAATTGCTCAAAGCCCACCGCCTCCGCCTTGGTCTTGAAGTTGATTTTCACACCCATGTTAGCTGCAGCAATCTCTGCTGCAGCCTTTCCCAAAGCCACCTGGGGAAAGTGGCGACAGGAACCTGTAGAAACCCGACAGACTTTGTTGGGGGATACAAGTAGCTTTGCCTCGGTATCTTGCGGAGGCCCTTCGATCTCCCTGGATCGAGCTTTGCGCTGGGCTTTCGCTGCCACAAAAGCTGGGGCTTGCTGAATCGCTTCCATCGCAAACTCGGTGTAGGCCTCTCGCTCTCTGAGCTTCTGCCGGCGCTCCGGAAGGCTGAGCTTTGCCAACTCCCTCGCTTGCTGCTCGAGCTTCAGACGTCGGGCTTCCTTTTGCAACTGCCTCTGCTCCTCCTCTGCCTGCTTTTCAGCCAGAAATCTCAGATTAGCCTCTGTTTGTTCCTGAACTTCTTTGGCTGCCTCTTGCACCAACGAAACAAAGGTGAGGTCATTCCAGGGGTCCAAAGGAGCATCGTGGACGGTCTCGACCGACAGCGATATCTCCACACCACCTGCATTCGCGTCTACGGTACGTTCGGCGCTCTTGATTTTGGCAGGAGGATCAATGTCAGCATCGGCAGGATCACCAAAAGGATCCCAACCGGTCTCCATTGCAGATGGCTAGGTGGCGACTTTCTACAACTGTGTCGACTGCTCTGCCGTAAGTCTACTGACATCCTGTGCTGCTCCAGTTGTGTGGGTCTTTCATCCTGGGTCCTTCACTCCTGCGCGGTCCATACACTTCATACGCAAGCTAGGAAGTACTAACACTAGCAGGTGACAAGCAGGCGCACTAAGCCGGCAACTTCATAACACGTCTGAAGTCTTAAGCCGATGATCCAGAGAAAAGCCCAGTCTACATTCATGCGAGCTTACAGGCATGATTGCAAGGCCGGCAATTCACGGCAGGGATAGAACATTCAGTGAATCAGAAGGCAATCGAATGCATGTTTCCATGACACAGTCATGTGAAGTGGTCCCGGAACCACTTCTGCAGTATCCTCTTGTGCCCCAGCTTGGTTACACCAGCTGCCAGAAAGAACTGCCCATCCAGATAGCCATCACGAAAATAGACATCATGGATTTGCTTCAATGAATCGAAGTTTGCAACAATCTGATCATAATACTGAAGCAAAAACCCATCGCCGTCCACGGACTCTAACCAATCCTGAATCGGCTGCAGCAAGAGTGGGTTGGTCTCCTCTAAACCCACTTCTTCTGGCTGGCTTGGCAGGGCCTCTGAAGCTGCAGCAAGATCGGCGCCATCGGCGACACGGTAGCCTGCAACCCTCCCGTCCGTGCACACTTCCACAGCCGATTCCTGCAGTTGCTGTGGTCTTATGGGGCTCCCCGAAGCTGCCAGGCAGGTCGCGTAAGGCAGCTCGCGGCTTCCTGGCGGAGCCTCGGCCAAGAGCTCGCAAATCCATTTGGGCAAAGGTCGAGGCTTAAAGCTCGCAGGCTTGGGATCACAGGGCTTCCCCCGACCCGAAATCTTCCAGGATGTGCAGCGGATTCCATGATCCAGGTAGTGCTGCTTAACATACTGGGAGAAATTGGACCAATCCGCCACACGCACCTGGTCCTGCTCCGAGCGCCGCCGCATCTGATCCGTTTGCCAGGCCAAGCGGCGCAGCTCCTCGGGTGCTTCGGGTGCCTCTGGCAACGAGGACCGGTAGGGAAATCGAGCCGGATAGCGATTGGGGAACCTCGCTTCTTGTATCTCCGAGACCTCGAGGTGAAAAGAATACGAAGCTTGGGCAGTCGGCGGCGTGCACAAACTGATGACGTCTCCATGCTGTAAGCCTTTCGGTCGGCCAACATCGAGAGTCTCACACTTCCCGCTCATCCCACCTGATTGCACCCGCACTTGCCATCTGGGGGTCAAGGCTTCCAAGCTCCACCTCTGCCTCGTTCTGACGATCCGACACAATCGCTCAGGAAAACTTGTATCCAGTTGCACGTGGGTGTCAGTACCAGAACCCACGTAAATTACAGGAGGCGGCTCATTCCTCGTTTTCTCGCAGTCTTCGCAGAAGTACACTTCGGGCAGCCGGGAGTCTCCACATGGTGGATGTATCCAACAACCCTCCAAGGGCGGATAGCCTGGCCGGTCATACCAAGCGTCATCTTCCCAGGATGATCCGCTAGCATTGCACGGCAACAGCTGCATTAACAGCACTGCAAGGCCAGGAAAAGCTTCAGCTAGGAAGGGCGGTAGCGTAGCAATGCGTAGCAATGCGTAGCAAGCTGAGGTTTCTCAAAAGATGGTAGCAACTGCCGATCCTTTGGAGGCCAATGACTATCTACAAAGAAAAGCGAAGCTCGGAGCTCGAGCCTGATCGAGAACGCAAGACTGCTGACACAGCGGACGAACGCCAAGCAACTGAGACAAGCCGAAGCTCGTTCTCACCGCTGCCCTGCATCGTGGGGGTGACATGAAGGCACTTCCCAACATTTACTCTACACGAGACTGTGTGAAAGGCTCAAAGCTCCCTAAATCCTGAAATGAAGAGGTTCGCGACATTTCACGAGCTTGGCTCCAACCCGCGAAAGGTTACAACACGTTCCGAGCATCCAGGGCTCCAAAAAGCTCTCAGCCGGTCCTTCCCACATGAACGCTTGCCCTTGCCCGTACCAGCAGCACTGAGCTGATGCCTATGTTGGTCTTCTATGCTGCTAACATGTACAAGTTCTTTCCACCATCAGACAATCATCCTGCATGCTGAGCAGGATGAAAATCAAAAGTGATGTCACACCCGTGTGGAGCATTCGGCTCAAGCACGGGCACATGCCGCAGAAGGCACGGGTAGTGACGCTACGTCTCATTTTGCGGTGAGCATGTGCGAAGTCACCAAGCACAAAGATCGGTACGATCTTGTATCTTTCATGTCACAGATGTCACCCACTAAACTGTTTTAAGCGATGAGCAGCTGCTGCTAGTCACGGTTGCACTTCCGACTCGGACAAGCTTCTCACAAGCCGGCAGCACGGCACTGGATAGCATCGGATAGTACAGAGAATGTTCTCAGATCTTCTCGAGCATGTTCGAGCATCGCGAGGGCCTCCTGGAGGTCCGCCACCTGCGCGGCACGGGCGAAAGACAGCAGGGATCTTACGAAAGACATGCAAAAGTTACTGCAGCGTGCGATGTGACTGTGCTTGGCGCTCCGCATAGGAGGCGAGGACGCAGGGGCTTCAGCTTCTCGAAGCAGGCCTTTGGGTGTCCAGCTCCTTCTGCGTGTGCTGCTTCTTCCTGGGCTTGTGCTTCGGTGTTCGGAAATTGGCGGCTTTGGCTTCATCAACCTTGGAGCCTTCCATCAAGTTCTTGTATTCCTTGAGCCCAGGCTCCTCGGCGGCCTCCGTCTCTGCCTGCATGCGAAGTCGCTTGGATCACCTCCAGCACAAGGGTCATCGTCTCGGAGTGCCACCTGTGCCTCCTTGGCACCCCTGGCTGTGGCCGCGGTTCCAGGCTCAGTCTGCCTGTGTAAGTCTTGCCCGCATGCAACATCTCTCAAAAGACCGTGGCGGCTTCCAACAGCTCCTGTTGCCAAGAGGTCCATGCCGTGCATCGCAGCATGTGTCCCAATTCAAAACCCATGTGGGGGCCCAGCATGCTGCCAATCCCTGCCGCGCGAAGCCAAAAGGACTCCAACGTGGTAGAGGTTGCGGGTTGAGCTGGCACTGGGAGATGCGCTTTGCAAGGTACAGTGCACGTCGGTCGAGCTCCTGCACAGGGAGTGATCTACCTCAGGACCACTCGGCGGACATGTCCGACTACACAGGCAGTAATGGCAGTAATTCAGCCCCTGCGAAATCCTGCGAAATCACGCCTTGACGGGTAGTCGTAAAATCGAAGAAATGCGTTGGTAATGACATGTGTTTGCTGATTGGAAGTCTTTCCTCTCTTGCATCCAACACTGTGTCTGTTCTAGCTAGGCTTGCATTGCTCTAGCACGTGGCACTCTTACTGTGTTGGATCTGTGAGGCTGTGCAGCTACCGGGGGAGGCCCAGGCCCCGAGGCACAGGTATAAGCAAAAGAAACTCCACTTGACTACACAACCGTAGTGAAACAGTGTGAAGCCAAATTTAAGTTGGCCACTACGGAGGCGTTGGTTCAGGCTGCTGAGCTGCGCAGGCTTGCGTTGGCAGGCGTAGGCCATACCTCAAGGCAGAGGCTGCTGAGGATCGGGCGAATGTATCGCATGTAATACCTGAAGCAGGTACCCATGCTAGGCGGCGTGATTGTGAAAATGCACCTCAGATCAGCTAGGACTAAGCAAAAAGGTAGACGAAGAAGTCGAAGATACCTGAGGCAGGGGGTTATCTTACCAGTGATGGCCAGCCGACCTGGGGGCGACCAAAGCGCATCGGAGAACCGCAACGATGCAAAGGTGCATTCCGGCAAGAAGTCGGTGAGATGCGTGTGCAGAAGATTGCGCAGACGAGTCCAAGACCCTGCGCTCGAGGCACCTCACGTCTTTCCACGATGGGCCCCGAACGGGCGTAAGCCGAGACGCCTTCAGAACGCAGCAAACACCCCAAGTCTTCAAGTTTAGAGCCTTGCGAGCGAAGAAGCACAACGCCTTGATCCATGACGTGGCCGTCTCCAGCAGAAAGTCCAGGAGAAGAGGTATACAGCACGCGCTGAATCCGCGAAGCGCAGCACTGGCGTCACTTGTGGAAAAGTAAGCCGCCAGAGTAGAAGGCACGCTGGCCAGCCGAATCCATTCATCGATCTGCCTGTCAAGAGCCAACTGACTGCCTGGACGAGCAGGAGGGAAACACTGAGGCATGTATGAAGGCACCGGCACCTGCAGAGCGCCTGTGAAAGGTGAGCGAGCGCTCGGAGCAGCGAGAAGAGGTGGCGGTTTTGTGAGCGCAAAGGAGGTGGAATCACACCAGCCGCGGAGGGGGCTCGATGAAAGGAAATCATGAGGCCAAGAGACCCCGAGAAGGCTGCGGAGCGCCATCGTCCCAGCGACTGCGAGGCAACATGTTGCTAGCGGAACCAAACAAAACTGAGCCCCGAAGGCGAGGGACCCAACAGAACCCGAGAACCCAGCAACCGGGACCAACTGGACCCTGGACCCAGGGTACTCCACACAGCCTGCGGACAGTGGATAAAATGAAACGGCACGTGCAACTGGCCACGGGAGATGCACGTGCCGTCAGCAAGCTCGGTGGGGGCAAGACAGCCATGCAGCAACACATTATGCAGCCGTGCAGCAACTGCGAAGCTGACATTGGATGACATCTGCCCAACAAAACAGCATGATCTATTTAAGTCCACAGACTGCCACGTAACCTCAGTGTCTCAAGCAACTCAAGGCCATCCAACTCGGATGCTGAGGCAACGGCCGGAGCTGGATCAGTTGAGTCCGGCAGCACTTCCAGAACTCTGATGCGGAAACTGAAATCGTCAGCTGTCAGCCTCACTGGACAGGCAGGCGAGCTGATCCTGTGCCCTCAGCGCCGCAAAGTGTGAGTCCTCAGATCGTCGGCATGTACATGAAGAGACGACTGAAGAGCAGCAAGGGACAAGGTGTGTGGAACACTCACGGCAAGCACCGACCAGGGCGGCTCCTCAACATCCGAGCCCAAAGCACGTAGAAAATCGGAAACCCCCCCGCAGAGAGTTCGTGCGACCGCCTCCAGCTCACACAGGATGAACTGCAGATCTGAATGCGACAGCGGCTCGGATCTCGAGGGGACCGACTTCGATGATCACCAGGGGCACCGGAGCTGACCTGAGAGCCGCGACGAGTCGCGCAAGGGCGACCCGCAAGCGTGCCATCCACATCGGAATCCTCAGTGGGGTCCTCAATGAGCGCAGTGTTGCACTTCAAGCGGAAAAGTCGGAGCATGCCCCGCTACAAAGAACTGCACAGTTTAAGTGTTTAAGCCCCGTAGTGAAGCACACTCAGATATTACGACACCGACGCAAATGGACTTGTGTCGTAATGAAAAAAACGAACCAAGCCCTGGCACAGGCTGTCACGTGCCATGCAAATCAGAGCGCGCGTGACCACTACGAGCCGCGCTGATCAGTCAGGGCCACGACTGCATCCAGACTCGTCTCTCACGGCAAGTGGTCAGTGAGCAGTAAAGACTGATGCAAGATCGGCCGACGGCCTACCATGGCAGTGGGTGAGCTCTGCACGGGGCGCAGAGAGTCAAGCCGATGCAAGATACGAAGCTAAATGCCCTGGTTGCGGAGCAGCTTTCACACACAGAGCGCACAAGCGCCAGAGGAGGCGGCGAAGAGGCCGGGGATCGCGACCTCCAGCGATCACGAAGTGGACCCGAGATCGGACCAACCTGGGACGGCAGCACACCGCGCAAGCCACAAGTCAGGAGACACTGACGAGCAGGGGCGCCGCGGCTGAGAGAAGGGCCGTGATCCCACTCAAGGTGCACAACGCACCAGCACCTGATTCCGACAGCAATGTGAGGCCCCAGCGCCACAAGAGCCCAAACTGAAGCAAGAAAACCGAGACACGCCTGCCAACCCAGAGGACTGCACTACTCCGAGCACCACACGCAAGGATAAGTGCCACTGCCAAAGAACATGTCCAGAACAAGCCTGCAATGGCGCTGCAGGAGAGCGCTCCTGAGAGAACAGCCCATGCGGGCAACCCACCCCTTTGACCTCGAGGCACAAATAAAAGGTCAGGAGGGCACACCACAGGTGCCAGGCACAAGTAGCATGAGGAACCTGGGCAGCGCTCCATTCCGAGTGCAAAGAAAAGGCGAAGCCTGAGCCCAAGCCCCAGAGCCGAGAGCGGCCGGCCCGAGGCAGGACCTGGCAGCAGCCACAACCACCGTCACGCCTAGGCAAGCAGGCACAGCTCGGGAAAGAACCGAAGGGGGCTAGCCAATAGTGAGGAAAAAGGTTCTGAGCGGGATGCCACGCACACACCACAGGAGCAGAGTGCAGCAGGCCGGGCGCATCACACTGGAAAGCTGCAGGCCTCGGCAGATAAAGGACCTCGGAGAGGCAGGACAGCAGCAGAGGGGACAGAAGCGTTGGCAGAGGACCCAGAACCCTGCACGAAACCAAAGCCCCAGACCCCAGCCAGCACAACCAACAGCGCAGCGGCAGACCTGCCAGCAAGAAGGCCAAAGAAGTGCACCAAAGGCACAGCTCCACGGGCGTGGTAACCGAAGAGGTCGAAGACAACATCTGCAATGCCAACGTTCGCAACACAGGCGGAGCCTGCCTCGAGAGGGAAAGGAGGACCACGGCCCACCTCAAAAGGAGTAAAATTTGGGCACTGCAGCAGGCAAGAATGCATGAGGCTCGTGCACACGGCTGCAACAGAGAGGCCTGCAAAGTGAAGCTGCATGCAGGTCACAATGTCCGAGGCAAATGCAGGTTTTAAAGGCGTTTGTGCCAACGATCATAGCTGCTGTTGCACATCCAAGCGGACCCAACGGCTTGCAGCCTAACAGCGTCCCCTCCGATCATGACAAAGCCAGCGCCAAGAATGACGGTAAAAAACGAAACAACTGCAGCCAGAAGCACCAACTGCCAGCACCACGGGCTCCATAGCGGAACTGCAGTTCTCTTAGGCTCGCACTGCTCTACCACTTGAGACACTCGCAGCACCTATTTTGATCGTATTGCTTCTGTGTAGGCTCGGGGCTAGCCAGGGGGGCCTAGACCCACTAGGCTGGGCCGTAGGCAAAAAGTCACCCCCCAGGTAGTCTTGGTGAAAGCGACTAGTTAAGTTAAGCCACTAACTAGGCTCGGAAGCGAACCAGAGGCGAAAGTTTTCGAGGCCGGAAACCGCGGTGCCATCTGTACTTGTGAGATGGCGTATCATCTGTATGCGAATGTACCCTGGAGGGCGAAGGTACAAGGCCACTACCAGGTCTCATGAGGCATGGAGACGAAAGGCGAGAGTGAAACTTAGGCTTCAGGGTTGCAATTCAGCAGTAACCAACGTGGTCGATGAAGACGAAGAGACACCTGGGCCGAGGGGTTAGGGCGGGTACCCCAAAGGGTTAGGGCTTAGGACACTTAAACGTCCAGGAAGCCGCAAGGGCAAGGCCTGAGAGGGCTGGTAGGCCGTGCTCGGCTTTGCGAACGAGGCTTGGGCCGCCGTCACCTGGGCAGGCAGCAGCTCTGTTTGAGAGCTCGCATTTGTGAGCAGTTGGGGCCTGACGGGCTGCTCGCCTTAGCGAACAAAGGAGCCAGGGCCTGGCGGCTTACTGGCGTAGGCCTGAAAGCTCTTGGTTTTGTATTTGGGCTTACGGCGAGCCCCTGACTCCCTCTGTGAAGGCTGGTCGGACCTGAGTACTGAGGCAGGCTCAAGTGCCGGTCTAGCTAGCGATTGGCTCGCCTTGCAAGTAGAAGAGGCTCGGACTGGGCGAGGCGCAGAAGTACCTGGAGTGGGAGGGCGGGGTTTCTTTTGCAGGAGGCTACGAATGTTCAAGTGCTAGAGCCAGACACTGCATAGTGTATAGATTCACGAGCCTATAAAACAGACATGAAACAAAACATGTACCGTTCTCTTAGGCTCGCACTGCTCTACCACTTGAGACACTCGCAGCACCTATTTTGATCGTATTGCTTCTGTGTAGGCTCGGGGCTAGTCAGGGGGGCCTAGACCCTAGGCTGGGCCGTAGGCAAAAAGTCACCCCCTCTTTAGGGACAGAAGCAACGGTCAAAAAGGCGCAAGTGTAGGAATCCCCCACCGCGGGCGGTGTTCTGTCCTTGGTG